GTATGGGAGAGCAGGACGTTGACGCAAGAGCTCTTGGAAAGCAGTCTGATTCCAGAAACAAGTTTGCTCTTCCTGCTGTTGGGCGTGCCCCGGTGCAACGGCGGCCAAGCACGCGTCCAGGTCGGACAGATTACCTGGCGGACTATCGTGCAAATATGCGTCCAAATCGTGACCGTAATCAGCATCATCACTTGGTTGCCAACCTCGATGGTTCTGTTTCTGCTGGCGCTTCCGGGTACGGATTCTCATAGACAAGTGTGCAAGTACGGCCTTGTGGTCCGATCCCAAGCTTAAGAAATCAACCGTTCTACTGCCCACCACGTGTAGGGAGCCAGGCACTAAGATGAAATCAATGCACCTTGTGTGTCCAAGGCTCGATCGAAAAGTCCACGCGTCTGCGTAGTTCAGCTTGGGTGGAAAGTTTGCTAATTGAAAGCCATGGCACGCTACGAACTCACTCAGTCTTTGCCCCCGCGGGCCGTTATTTGACGTTTTTTTTTCCTGGGCCGCGCGCACCATGTTATCGAGCTGGTCGTAGAACTCTGCGAACTCATCCAGAGAGAAAAAAGCATGGGGAGCATACATTGAAACAAATGTGTATGAACGTTTCCCCAACGCGATGTCCAATCTGATCATGTGGCCAGCCTCCGCAACCTCTCCGCGAACATTCTGGACTTGGCGCACGTGTACCAAGACGCCAGCGTCCGCAGCAGCATAGCCATCCAAAGGTGACAACAGCTTATGCCCACCTTCTACTGTAAGTGATGTTGAAAGCGCCCTTGTCTCGCTGAACATCATGAGATCCCAATCAACGTCTGTCAACTCAGCCATTCATTCAACTATTTGCGCGCTCGTTCGTAATCTCGCATTCTTGCTGTACGCATGCAAATCTCCTGCCAAGGTAGGGGGTGAAACGTGGTTTGACCGGTGCTGTCCCTATTTGGCCAATGGTTTCCCTTTCCCTTTGCCTTTTTCCCTAACCGTCTCTAAAGACTTCTGGCATTTCTCGCCCAGCGCCTTGTAATCACCCTCGTTGTGGAGGTACCCCCAAATTCTTCCACTCCTCGCTCAACCACGTACTTGCCAAGTTGTTCCCCGAACAAGTAGTAGACAGAATCGTCTCAGCACCGATCTTCAAAGTAAGAACCACATCATCAACTTCGATAGCTTTAGAGTTGTACCCCCAATTGGTGAGCAGCTTCTTGAAGCCAGAAAGACAACGTAGAGGACGCGTACATGGACAGGTTGGTCTTGATTCGCCCACACCCTTTTTCCAGAGCACGTGATGGATGCAGTCTAGAACTTGTGCACGACTGTTTGGAGGTCGTCCAGGTTGGCCATCTTGCCGGAAACGAGCCCTGAACATGTGTCTCCTTTGATGAAGATGTCGGCGGGTAATGAAACCTTCGCCCTGCGAAGCTCCGTCTTGATGAACCGCTCTGCCTCCTCCAAAGAAGAGAGCCCGTCCAAACCACCGATTATTGCAGTCACAGCGTCTGTTTTTCCACTCGGCGTCGAGAGATTCTTCATCATGGTCTCCAACTCTGTCAAGCGTTCTTGCACTGACCCCCGGGTGATCTCCGTGCCGTCCGAGCGCGGAGAGTATTGGGCCGATTTCGCTTCCAGTACCTCCACTCGTTGCGAAATAGCCTCCATGTCTTGCATGGTCGGTTGGAAAGCTCCGTCAAAGTCGTCGCGAGAAACACTGTACAACTTTATGGCTGTTATGTCTTGGCGTATTGGCGCCAAATGCTCCTCCAGAAGACGCACCATACAAGAAAACGTCAATGAATCGTTCCCCTGGTGGCGCTGTAGTTGAAGTCCAAGGGCAGCTCCTGTGATTGCGCTCGTGGTGTTCTCCCCGGTTGATGGCCCAGAACTTCCTGTCCATGAACCCCTTGCTCCACTGTCGTCCTCAAGCCCATCCATCTCATGAAGTGGGCTGTGGACCCTGTAGTGCTTGAAATTTGCCTCACAGGGATACCAGGCAAAGCCATCGATGTGGTCTCGAAGTGTAAGATGTGAGGACGGATCTAATACTGCTGAGTACCTGAATGCCCTTGAGCCTATCCCCTTGAGCCAAAATGGTGTGAGCCAACATGGCTGGGACCGGGCGAAAATGTGGGGGCCCCAGACTCGTTTTGTCGATTGGTCTGGTCAGAGCATCGAGGAGGATCCAGCCGTGGCCAAACGGACGTCCGAGGAGACCCCCCAACAAACAAAAACTATCCTGGCGAAGGACCAAACCATGTGTAGCTGTGAGTAACGCAGTTGTGTATATCGTCCTCGGTGCAGGTCTCTCTGGGGCCACGACGCGTGTGACGGGTGTGCCAAAATTGGCACGGGCACGCCATCCTGACGCTGCACCCGGAGCCGTCGGTGGAGCCCTATGTGAGTCCACGCAACGTGTGAAGGGTGCGCCGAAATGCAGGGTGGAGCCGCGTGCGGGCGTTGCCACTAGGGCCTTTGGCGGAGCTCCCTATGGGGCCACGAAACGTGTAAGGGGTGCGCCGAAATTGAGGTGGAAATGCATGCGGACCCTTCCACTGGGGTCTTCAGTGGAGCACCCTATGGGGCCGCAGAACGTGCGAGGGGTGCGCCAGGTTGGGGGTGGAGCTGCATGCGGACCCTGCCGCTGGGAAGCGTGTGAGGGGTGCGCCGAAATGGGGGCGGAACTGCATGCGGACCCTGTCATTGGAGCCCTGGGTGGAACACCCTATGAGGCCACGAAACGTGTGAGGGGTGCGCCGAAGTGGGGGTGGAACTGCATGCGGACCCTGCCACTGGCCTTGCGTGGAACACCGTATGGGGCCACGAAACGTGTGAGAGGTGCGCCGAAATGGGGGTGGAACTGCTTGCGGACCCTGCCACTAGGGCCTTCGGTGGAGCGCCCTATGGGGCCGCGGAACGTGCGAGGGGTGCGCCGAAACGGGGGTGGAACTGCATGCTGACCCTGCCATTGGGGCCTTTGGAGCACCCGATGGGCGACGAAACGTGTGAGGGGTGCGCCGAAGCGGGGGTGGGACTGCATGCGGACCTTGCCTCTGGGTCTTTCTGCGGAGCACCCTATGGGGCCACGAAACGTGTGAAGGGTGCGCCGAAATAGAGTTGGAGCTTCATGCGGACCCTGCCACTAGGGCATTCGGTGGAGCTCCCAATGGGCCACGAAACGTATGATGGTGGCGCCGAAATGAAGGTGGAACTGCATGCGGACCCTGCCACGGGGGCCTTCAGCGAAGCACCTCATGGGGCCACGAAACGTATGATGGGTGTGCCGAAATGAGGGGTGGAACCGCGTGCGGGCGTTGCCACTAGGGCTTTGGATGGAGCACCCGATGGGGCCACGAAACGTGTGAGGGGTGCGCCGAAATGGGCATGCGAGGGAGCAGAGGCAGGGAGGGGAGGAGGGAGGAGGGGGAGGAGAAAGGAGGCGTGAGTGAGTGACGCGGGGCGCTGTCTCCCCAAAGCGAGGACCCAACACCACAAGACGGTTGGGAACAATTTGAAGCCCCGATCCGGGAAGTCCCATCATCGAATCGAGGCGGAGGAGGAGGAGGAGGAGGAGGAGGAGGAGGAGAAGGGAAGGAGGAGGAGAAGGGAAGGAGGAGGAGGAGGACAAGTGTAAACCCAAGGGTAATCAACGATGTTGGAATGCACCCTCCCCCCAAGCTCCCTCTTCATGGGCCCCTACAGGGGTTCATTGTCACTGAGGGAACTGCTTCGTTGGAAGACAGCTGTGCGAAGACCCTGAAGCATGCCGACACATTGCTCTTGGGATTCCAACGCCACGATTCAACCGCACTGCTGCGTGTCGACGATCTTGAATCGTGCCAGAACGCCGTTCGTGGGACTTCAACACCGCGAAACAAGGCAACTGTTACACCCTGATAATCTGGCATCCGCTCAAACCACAATTCCTGGTACGTTGGTCATGGGAATCCGTGAAACTCTCGCAAATGCGCGAGGCGCTAACGCGAGAGCCACATTTTGAAGAGGAACCACCCTCAATCCGCGAAACTCTTGCAGACTGTTGAAACGACTATGCGCGACGCTAAGGCGAGAGCCACATTTTGAAGAGGAACCGCCCTCAGTCCGTGAAAGTCCTTTGCACGCTTTCAAAACACATGTACGTGGCGCTAAGGCGAGAGCAACATCTTGAAAACGGTCCGCCCTCAATCCGTGAAACTCTTGCACATGTTCAAAACGAATGTGCGCGGCGCTACTTCGAAAGCCACATGCTGAAGTCGGCCCGCCCTCCGTCGGTGAAGTTGTTGCCACTGTTGAAGCGTCAGGGCCATAAAGTGTGAGGAAGTCTCAGGCGAAACGCCCGGTCCGCCCTATCAACTGGCTTCGGGGTGCGACAGGGAGGATTTGATTATAAGGAAAAGGAACGGAGGATGAGGAGGAGAAGGAGGAGGAAAAGGAGGAGGAGGAGGAGGAGGAGGAGGAGGAAGGAGGAAATCTCACACGCACGTCGTGCTACTAAGACACCTTTTGTCGCTGTTCGACGTCTTTAAACGCTGCGCCTCCTCTAGGCAGAGTCAGTGCAACCAAGGAGGAGAAGGAGGAGGAGGATGGAACTGATGGGAGGGGAGGAGGAGGAGGAAGGAGGGAGGAGGAGGGGAGAGGACTGGAGGAGGAGGAGGAGGAGGAGGAGGAGGAGGAGGAGGAGGAGGATTGAGAGGAGGAGGTGGAGGGAGGGGGGAGGAGGGAGGGGGGGGAGGCGGGGAGGAGGCGGAGGAGGAGGAGGAGAGGAGAAGGAGAGAGGAGGAGGAGGAGGAGGAGGAGGAGGAGGAGGTGGAGGAGTAGAATGAGGAGGAGTAGGAGGAGGGAGGAAGAGGGACGAGGAGGGAGGAAGGAGGGAGGAGAAGGAACGAAGGAGGAGGGAGGAGGAAGGGCGGAGGGAGGGAGGCAAGAAAAGGAGGGAGGAGGATGGAGGGTGGGAGGAGGAGGGCGGAGGGAGGAGGGAGGGAGAGAGGGGGACCGAGGAGGCCTCGGAG